CTGAAATGCTTCACCAAGATGCAGGTTTGCCTGAGGGATTCTAGGATCATCTTCTGTATATATTTGGAATCCGGCAAAACTGTGGCACAAGACAATCACCAAAGTCAGCCTGGCTGTTCCAGAGTCCCACTGGGCCTGGCCAGTGACTCTGCCTGGAAATCTAGGGCCATCAGTTGGTCCACATTTCCATCCCAGGGTCAGTAATTGGGGTGCTTCTGTTTCTACGTAACACCATCTCAGATTTCACTCCCATCAATTGCCTTCAGGATTTCACCCCTGGCTACCTGGACCTCCAAGCTCTGTGCTCAGTCCTGCCCCTGGTTTTTAACTTATACTTTACTCTTGACAGCAAGTCTGCCCCATAATAGGAAGGACCCAGAAGGGGCTTCACTGAGCCACTGAGCCACTGAGTCAGTCTCCTCCTCTAGAAACTCTGCTCCCTCTGATATGATTTGCTTCATTCCCACTGTGAAGTCACTTAACAGATATCTTCCCCAGAAGGTGTGTGTATCTAATTTTCACTTCTCTCTCCCACTGTGAAATGTTTGTGTGAGAGTAGGGGTTAATGGGGGATGGCTACTTAAGTAATTTTGGGTCCATTCATTTAGTGCAACACTGCAGTATTATCCTGAAAACTTGATGTAGCAGCTTTACAAAAAGGATAGAAATAATTTGCCAAAAAAGTAGTTAAGAGATTAAATAACTACAGAACAATATTTACAGTGCCTTTTCACGTGGAGAAAGGAAACAAGTGGTTCATGTCTGTGATTGTATTTGTACCAAGTAACTCTGGAAAGAGACATGAGACAGCATTAACAGCTTAGTAACCAGAGGAAGACCTAGTTCCCATTACACACAACTTTTTGTTTTTCTTTCTCTTTTTTATTTTTCGTTTTTTTTCTTTGCTAAGAACAAATATTACTGTAATAGCCTTCTGTGTCTCTTTTAACCTTTTTTAGTTTGAAGTCTGTTCGATCTGATATAAGTATAGCAGTTCCTGCCTTCTTTTTTGGCCCATTTGCTTGTAGGATTGTTTTCCATCCTTTTATTTTCAGTCT